GCAGTGAGAGGATTCACCAGAGACACAGTGGGGAGCAGAACAGGCCAACTGACAAGTACACTACTGAGGGGAGCAGCGGGCAGGTCAGGAGAGGTCTGCCGTGCTATGTGGGTCACCTCGGGGTGGGGGTCAAACTCACACTGAAGTGGCTTTAGCTTCTTAGTGTTGTGCTTTAAGCTGCTGTGCCACCAGGAAGGGCCCGAGATGCTATTATAATGTATAAAATGGATCATAGCATCTGGATCCCAATGCATTTTTATTTATGCATAGAAGAACTGGGGTGAGAGGATTCTCCAAAGATAGTGGGGAGCAGAGCAGGCAGATCTACCGAAATACACTGCTGAGGGGAGCAGCAGGCAACACACGAGTGGTCTGCTTACTGCACCATATATGGGCCACCTCCCTGGCCATGATCTAACGCAGGCCACGGCTGTGACAGCACTGAAACTTAACTCCTAGGCCATCAGGGAGGCCCTGGACTCCAATATATTAAGAATTTCTTCATTTGAAGGGGTCTAGTGTTGGAGACCAGCTCCAACTTTTGAGGTGTCTGGAGGCAGGACAGGCAGGACCCTAAGATGGGAAGGCGTCGGCGTGCAGAGATTCCAGGAGGGGGGAGAGGACGCGAGGAAGACACAGGAGTCAGGATTGGGAGCAAGTCTTCCTGCTCATCTTTTTGCAGGTCTTTATTTATACTGTTTAGCAAGATTTAGTTACAATAATGTCTTAGGTAAGTTAATAAGAAACCGACATAAAAGTTTCACAGGAAGAAGGGAATAATGCATCTTCTTCCTGCTACTTTATGGCGCGCTATACTATACATCTTTGTGATAACTTTCATGTATAGGGATGTTTAACTGTGACTTTAAAGGATCAGGGTCTGGGAAAGGATGAGCTGTTAGCAAAAGGATTTAAGAGTCCTAGGGAAGGAATAAATTGTGTTAGCATAGTCGTCAGTGATAGCCCAAAGAGAAGCTAATGGCTAATTTAAGGTTAGCAAGGAGTAGCTAGTGTTTGTTTAGGGAAAGAGTAAATTAAGAAGAAGTTACATAGTTGTGCATTAAGCAAAACCTGTGTTGATAATGTTAGGAAATTGTCCATGGGTCCTTATGCCCTGAGAGTTATTTTAAGAATGCTTTTTGTCAAAAGACCAAGGAAGCTTTCCAGGAGTCTTGATGCTCTGGGGTCTTATCTCTCCAGGAGCTTGCCTTTTGTCTTCAGTCAAAGGAATTTCCTGCCCAGGGGCAGCTCAGCTTGTATTTTGCCCAGGCCAGGTAGCCAATTTAGAGCTAAGGCAAGCCAGTTACAAACTGATGTTGCTACAATATTTTTTGATATTACGATTATACAAAAAAGGGAGGTCATAACATAAGTTA